GCTATATAAGTGCAATAATCTTGGACGCGACGTTAAACCCCATTTCACCTCAGCACCTCACCTCACTAGTTAACCACAGACGTCTGTGACATGACATAGAAGAGATTTAGAGAAGGTATTCCATATCATGAGTGAGTGAGTGAGTGAGAATATAGCAATATTCCAGCAATATCACCGCGAGGGACGCCAGAAATGGGGAATCGAACCCGCGTCTTCGGGGTGACGGGGAAAACGTTTTAACCACTAGGCTACCCCACCGCCCCGACAATAAAATGAAAACGCAAATGTAGAAAGTAAGTATAATTGCTTAATGTTGCTGTTGAAAAGGTGATCGGTCCAAGAAATCCATGTATGTAGTTAATTAGGTCATTTGGACTTTTCATATCTCGTGTGATTACAAGAAAGAGATTTAATGATTCCTCGAAGGAGGAAATTGTGTATGCATAATATGAATAATACCATCGGATCCCGTAGAGAGAATGAAATACCGGTTAAAACACACTTCCTCGACACAGTTTTTCCTTCCTTGTGGTACGATGTACATATATCCTATCACATGAAGGCGATGGTTCATCGTCAGTAGGCAAGAACATTCACGCTGTTTCGATTAGCTGGAGATCAAACGGCGCCAACATTCAACATAAGAACTCGATTTATCGAACTTCTCCGGGATTTTCAACAATAATACTCGCCGTGCATAGGTTTATGATGCATACGTTGCATTCACAAACAGAACTGACAGCCCACATGTCTACATGATTGCGTACAAGGCGCCATGACACCCATAAATATACCAGGAGATAAATACTGACGAAACAGCAGTTTCTTCGTTCACTCATCTCACCGTTAACATCTACACGATCGGCAGATTAGATACATGATATAGCGGGAGTGAAAGGAATTTTAGAGAAAGACGGCCATGGTTTAATAGGAATTGCAGCGTGAAAGAGTCATTAAGTAATGGGATATGCAGGGTGAGACATTCATGGAGTAACGGGAATTGCAGCGCGAGACAGTCATGGAGTAACGGGATTTGCAGCGCGAGACAGTCTTCTAGTAATGGGAATTACAATGCGAGACAGTCATGGGGAAACAGGAGTTTAAGCGTGATACAGTCATGGAGTAACGGGAATTGCAGCGTGATACAGTCATGGAGTATCGGGAATTGCAGCGTGATACAGTCATGGAGTAACGGGAATTGCAGCGTGATACAGTCATGGAGTATCGGGAATTGCAGCGTGATACAGTCATGGAGTAACGGGAATTGCAGCGTGATACAGTCATGGAGTAACAGGAATTGCAGCGTGATACAGTAATGGAGTAACAGGAATTGCAGCGTGATACAGTCGTGGAGTAACAGGAATTGCAGCGTGATACAGTCATGGAGTAACAGGAATTGCAGCGTGATACAGTCATGGAGTAACGGGAATTGCAGCGTGATACAGTCATGGAGTAACAGGAATTGCAGCGTGATACAGTCATGGAGTAACAGGAATTGCAGCGTGATACAGTCATGGAGTAACGGGAATTGCAGCGTGAGACAGTCATGGACTAACAGGAACTGCAGGGTGAGAAAGTCATGTAGAAACAGGAATTGCAGCACCAGGCAGTTTTCGAGTAATTGGAATTGCAGCGCGAGACATTCTTCGAGTAATGGGAATTGTAGCGCGAGACAGTCTTCGGGTAACAGGAATTGCAGCGTGAGACAATCACCGAGTTACAGGAATTGCAGCGTGAGGCAGTCATGATATAGCAGGAAGTACAGGAGGGTCAGAATGAACTATGGCATTAGTTCCTTCTGATAAGACATTAGCTTAAAGAACGCTAACGGCGACCTGGGCAAGCCAAGGCTTCAGGTTACGTGTATTAAAGAGAACATGCTTCTTGTGCAGCTTGACAATCACACGGTTTTGTACATCTATATTCAATGTGTAAATATACGCGCGGATACATTTTTATTACTCATTTGCTATTTGCGTTTCTTTAAGGCATATGAGATTTTAATGTAAATATTGTACTTTTCAATTACAGCAAAGTCATCAAATAGAAAGAACTCTCAATCACATAAAAACAAATACATAGAAAACAGGGTTAACCTAATCAATTGGATGTCGAAAAACTAGAAGCATAAACAACTCTCAATCACATAAAAACAAATACATAGAAAACAGGGTTTACCTAATCAATTGGATGTCGAAAAACTAGAAGCATATACATTGTTCTGTTAAATGTAAAGGCGCACAACATTGTATAAAGTTATGTTAACTTGAGAATACACTCAACAGTGACATAAAGTCTCCATTGTAAGTGCAGCTTACTCATAAATGCTGTACGGCTGAGCTTCCGATATCAATCATTTCAGAAAATTACATGCAGTTATACTGATTAATTCAGCGTCCTCGTTGACGTAAGTTCAACACAGTACACAATCTCCACAATTGATGGCTTCGCTACTCACAACTGGGGGCTGTCATCAAAACTCATGCAGGTCCAGACAGACGGGATTCATAAACCAGAGGCTTTATATAACTCGAATAGATTTCTAACATCAAATGGTTTGAGTTGCAAATGATAATATCTTTGACAAATAACGATGTAACAAACCACCAAAGCGCGCCATGATTGAGTGTACACATTGGAAAGAAGAGGCGGTCAGAGAACCCACAGTGAATGCGCCTCTATTGATTATACGGGAACCCACATAACAGCTCATATACAAGCAATTGTGCTGTTTAAAATGTTCGTATACAGTTTGCGACTGTTTTCTGCCTCAGTAACTTCAGCTGTCGGTGAAGGTGCTCAAACGTTATGATTGGGGTTAACTCTCTGTACTATATTTAACTCCGAATGAGCTGCTGGACTGGCGTTTCTTTTACATATATCCTACATGTTTCACATCAAACGCACTATTTTCTTTACCTTTTCATTTTGCAAAGACATGCAGTAATTATAGCGCGAGATAGTCATGCGGTAAGAGGATTTGCAGCGTGAGACAGTCATGGAGAAACCGGAATTGCAGCGCGTGACAGTCTTCGAGTAGTGGGAATTGCAGCGTGAGGCAGTCATGAAGTAACAGGAATTGCAGCGCGGGACAGTCATGAAGTAACAGGAATTGCAGCGCGGGACAGTCATGAAGTAACAGGAAGTGCAGTGCGGGACAGTCATGAAGTAACGGGAATGAGCGCGGGACAGTCATGAAGTAACAGGAAGTGCAGCATGAGACAGTCATGAAGTAACAGGAATTGCAGATGGTGGCAGTCATAAAGTAACAGGAATTGCAGCGCGCGACAGTCATGAAGTAACAGGAATTTCAGCGCAGGACAGTCATGGAGCAACAGGAATTGCAGCGCGGGAGAGTCATGAAGAAACAGGAATTGCAGCGCGAGACAGTCATGGAGTAACAGGAATTGCAGCGCGGGACAGTCATGGAGTAACAGGAATTGCAGCGCGGGAGAGTCATTGAGTAACAGGAATTGCAGCGTGAGACAGTCATGGACTAACAGGAACTGCAGGGTGAGATAATCATGGAGAAACAGGAATTGCAGCGCGGGACAGTCATGGAATAACAGGAATTGCAGCGCGGGAGAGTCATGGAATAACAGGAATTGCAGTGCGGGACAGCCATGAAGTAACAGGAATTGCAGCGCGGGACAGTCATGAAGTAACAGGAACAGCATCGCGGGACAGTCATGGAATAACAGGAATTGCAGCGCGGGACTGTCTTCGAGTAGTGGGAATTGCAGCGTGAGGCAGTCATGAAGTAACAGGAATTGCATCGCAGGAGAGTCATGAAGTAACAGGAATTGCAGCACGAGACAGTCATGAAGTAACAGGAATTACAGCGCGGGACAGTCATGAAGTAACAGGAATTGCAGCGCGGGACAGTCATGAAGTAACAGGAATTGCAGCGCGAGACAGTCTTCGAGTAATGGGAATTGCAGCGCGAGACAGTCATGGAGTAACAGGAATTGCAGCGCGAGAGGGTCATGGAACAATATGAATTGCAGCGCGAGACAGTCTTCGAGTAATGGGAATTGCAGCGCGAGACAGTCATGGAGTAACAGGAATTGCGGCGTGAGACAGGTGCTCTAATTTCTTTACCTTTTTATTTTGCAATGACATGATGGATGTGCCTGCATCGATGAAGACTATGTACGCAGCATGTGACTAAGTATGTCACAAATGTGCGTTTTACATACTTACCTTTTCGCGAACAAATGGTGGCATCACTGATTTTCAGTAGTCCATCCTTATAATTTCCACGGCTATTTGCCCTTTACGCCAAGTGGAATCTGTTTCGGCAGGAAATCTGTGTTGGTTATTCTCTTGCATTGACAATTTATATTATATCGGCGTTAGTATGAAGAAAGATCGAATCAAATCTGGTCATACTGAAAAAAGGTATTATTGTGAATGGCAATTTAGCGACGTAACGTCACGTTGAAGCAGGATAATGTCCGACCACATCTTGCACGTGCTGTAACATACTTTTTGAGGCAGCATGACATTGCTGTACTTCCATGCCCGGCTGTTTCTCCGGCCCACTCCCCTATAGAACATGTCGGGGATTAGATGGAACAACGTCTACGACAGGACCATAACCAACCGGTAACTCATGCTCAGTTTGATCAATCTTCCGTTGACATTTGAAACAACATCCCCTAGGCTGTTTTTAAATCATCTGGTGTCTTCAATGCGCAACCGGTGCATTGTCTGTGTCAACGTAAATGGTGGTCACACCCGATATACAAATTATTAATCGAGTCGTTACACCGACCCTCTCTACGGACGTGTCGCCCTGTCCCCTGTTACCAGGTATGGGTTTTGCCAAATAATTTGCTATGATAAAACATTGATAAGACGAATGACCAAATATTATTTTGTCATTTTCTTTAGTATTTACACAACTTTATATGCCAAGTAGCCAATCCAGGCCTCTACAAGGACAACACCATCACTAAGAGCATGTCCTGTACCAGAACAACACCAGCACTAAGAGCATGCCCTGTACCAGGGACAGGGACAACACCATCACTAAGAGCATGCCCTGTACCAGGGACAGGGACAACACCATCACTAAGAGCATGCCCTGTACCAGGGACAGGGACAACACCATCACTATAAGCATGCCCTGTACCAGGGACAGGGACAACACCATCATTAAGAGCATGCCCTGTACCAGGGACAACACCATGACTAAGAACATGCCCTGTACCAGGGACAACACCATGACTAAGAACATGCCCTGTACCAGGGACAGGGACAACACCATCACTAAGAGCATGCCCTATATCAGGGACAACACCAGCACTAAGAACATGCCCTGTACCAGGGACAGGGACAACACCATCACTAAGAGCATGCCCTGTACCAGGGACAGGGACAACACCATCACTAAGAACATGCCCTGTACCAGGGACAACACGATCACTAGGAACATGCCCTGTACTAGGGACAACACCATCACTAAGAACATGCCCCATATCAGGGACAACACCAGCGCTAAGAACATGCCCTGTACCAGGGACAGGGACAACACCATCACTAAGAGTATGCCCCATATCAGGGACAACACCATCACTAAGAACATGCCCTGTACCAGGGACAACACCATCACTAAGAGCATGCCCTATACCAGGGACAACACCATCACTAAGAACATGCCCTGTACCAGGGACAACACCATTACTAAGAACATGCCCTGTACCAGGGACAACACCATCACTAAGAACATGCCCTGTACCAGGGACAACACCATCACTGAGCACATGCCCTGTACCAGGGACAACGCCATCACTAAGAACATGCCCTATACCAGGGACAACACCATCACTAAGAACATGCCCTGTACCAGGGACAACACCATCACTAAGAACATGCCCTGAACCAGGGACAACACCATCACTAAGAACATGCCCTATACCAGGGACAACACCATCACTAAGAACAAGCCCTGTACCAGGGACAACACCATCACTAAGAGCATGCCCTGTACCAGGGACAACACCATCACTAAGAACGTGCCCTGTACCAGGGACAACACCATCACTAAGAACAAGCCCTATACCAGGGACAACACCATCACTAAGAACATGCCCTGTACCAGGGACAACACCGTCACTAAGAACATGCCCTATACCAGGGACTACACCTTCACTAAGAACATGCCCTGTACCAGGGACAGGGACAACACCATCACTAAGAACATGCCCTGTACCAGGGACAACACCATCACTGAGAACATGCCCCATACCAGGGACAACATTATCACTAAGAACATGCCCTATACCAGGGACAACACCATCACTAAGAACATGACCATGGACATGCACTATCACAGCAACAACACCATCACTAGGGGCATACACTATCACAGGGAATAGGTCTTCAGCAACCCATGCTTGTCATAAAAGGCGACTGTGCTAACGGCGACTAACGGGATCGGATGGTCAGGCTCGCTGCCTTGATCGATGCATGTCATCGTATCCCAATTGCGTAGATCGATGCCCAGGATATCAATAGCTGGATTGTCTGGTCCAGACCGCCGTTATATACCTGGAATATTGCTGAGTGCGGCGTTAAAGAAACAAACAAACCAAACTTCCACAGGCACAGAGGGAAGGACTGGCAAATATAATTAAATAACAAACTTATACCAGCAATTGTTTTCCTCTTTACAATTCTGCAGCAATGAAACGTGCACGCATTGTACAAAGCATGGTGTAGAGGAGGAAGCAGATACTGTAACGTAATTCTGATCATGTCGTTGCAATCAAGGAACAGAGTATGGAGTTACGTGACACACAGTGGGACATCACCGCGACAGTCTGACGCAGTCACGTAGCAGGTCTGCCGTAATCCAGGACATAGAAGTAGGTGGCGACACTTGAAGGTGAAGGTCAGGTAGATAAAGGTCTCCTTGTCAAGATAGCTACTGTATATGTGCTATGTCATTAACGAGGGATGAGGAGAGAACTGGACCATCACCTCCCACCTGCTGCATCTGCCCTACATCAGTAGCCCGAGAGGACCTGTCCTGAGATTAAATAACATCTCTCAGGTTTTACCTCATTTGTGTTTTTTCACCTGGTTTATGGTCCAAATTTTGACAAACGTGGAATAAAATCAGAATCTTAACATCCTGTTTTAGTCAAGCAAAGTCTGTTAATTAAATCAGTAAGGAAAAAAACAGCTCAAAGATTGATTGTTAAAACTCTTGAAAGCAAAAGTCGAGTTTGTTTTATGTAATGTTTGTTTTCATTTTCGCTATCACTTTAAACATATACATTATTTGGAAATGTTATTTTTAGTTTTATTTATTCCGAGCCCCAAATCCTGTTGTTAAACGTTAGTGGGTGAATGTTGTTTAACACGACTGTCAGCTATACTCCAGCAATATTACGGCGGACTAATCGAGTCTGGACCATACAAACCAGTGACTCCCATCGGGGATGATGACACAAAATCAATCAAATCATCACACCTTGCCTCCGAATCCATTTAGAAGACAGGGCAGGAATAGGTAACTTGAAATCCATTCCATCCCAGAATCCAGCGAGGTAATGCATCACACCAACATGATATACTTACGCACAACAGATGCACCTAAGCACTGGGTTGCACCCTGCACGCTAGGCCACAGTTGAAGGCCGGTTACCCGCCATACAGTCATGAATCATACCCGATGCAGTGGCTGCACATGAACAAGTAACCTACTGTGTCGGTGTCGGTGTCGGCGTCGGCGTCGGTGTCGGCGTCGGTATGGGGATGGAGGTTAGTCCACGTGTCCACCCGCTGTGTCACGTAGTGAATCTAGACGGTTGTTATTCCTGTACTCAGCAATACCTGCTTTCAATGTAAGCAGTTTCTGACTACATAGCTGCCTGTACATCCGTAAGTATAGCAAGCTTGATATGTTGCCTGTTGTGCACATCTGATGGTGAAGATTTAAGTATACAGGCACATCTAGGGGTATGGGTTGATTTTAAATTTACTTATATCATTAAAAAATCAACACTAGATATTGGATAATGTTACACATTCATCTGACAATGTGACACATCCATCTGACAATGTGACCCGACTATCTGACATTGTTACACATCCATCTGACAATGTGACAACTCCATCTGACAATGTGACACATCAATCTGACAATGTAACAAATCCATTTGACAATATAACACATCCATCTGACAATGTAACAAATCCATTTGACAATATAACACATCCATCTGACAATGTGACACATCCATCTGACAATGTAACAAATCCGTCTGACAATGTTACACATCCATCTGACAATGCAACACATCCATCTGACAATGAAACACCTCCATCTAACAATGTAACACATCCATCTGGCAATGCAACACATCCATCTGACAATGTAACACATCAATCTGACAATGTAACACATTCATCTGACAATGCGACACATCCATCTGACAATGTGACACATCCATCTGACAATGTAACGCATTCATCTGACAATGTAACACATCCATCTGACAATGTAACACATACATCTGGTAATGTAACACATCCATCTGACAATGTGACACATTCATCTGACAATGTAACACATACATCTGGCAATGTAACACATTCATCTGACAATGTAACGCATTCATCTGACAATGTAACACATCCATCTGACAATGTAACACATTCATCTGACAATGTAGCACATCAATCTGACAGTGTAACACATTCATCTGACAAGGTGACACATCCATCTGACAATATAACACATACATCTGGCAATGTAACACATCCATCTGACAATGTAACACATCCATCTGACAATGTAACACATACACCTGGCAATGTAACACGTCCATCTGACAATGTAACACATTCATCCGACTGGAACACATCCATCTGACAATGTAACACGTCCATCTGACAATGCAAAACATACATCTGGCAATGTAACACATCCATCTGACAAGGTAACGCATTCATACACCAGTCTAGTATTGCGGCTGCCCTCATCTATGCTTTGGTCTGATACGGTCTACATCAGCAATGCCACAGAGTATCTATTGTGAAATTGTATATATGTAACAAGACTGTAGACTACTATTGTATATGTTACAAATGTCCCACTGGCTCTGATAATGAATTTATTGGCAATGCTGCATTATACCTAGTCTCACATGAAGTTAGTCGGCACTTGGGGGCAAGGGTGGCCAAGTTGTTTAACGCACTGTACATTCGCTGTACAGAGTTGCGTCCCATGTGCGTGTCCTTGAACTTTGATCTTGCATTCTAATGTCTGTCCTCCCTGACTGTTTCTAGGTTTGTCTGTCCTGTAAGAATAGGTCTTCAGCAACCCATGCTTGCCGTAAAAAGGCGACTTTGCTTGTCGTAAGAGGCGATTAACGAGATCGGGTGGTCAGGCTGGCTGACTTGATTGATGCATGTCATCGATCCCAATTTCGTGGATCGATGCTCATGATATTAATCACTGGGTTGTCTGGTCCAGCCTCGATTATTTACAGACCACCGTCATATAGCTGGATAATTGCTGAGTGTGGCGTTAAACAACAAACAAACAAACAGTCCTTACCCGTACCCGTTCGTTTCAACTCTGATCGGCATAAGAGGGTAAATCTATCTGATAGAAAATCGTTCAGAAGCAACATTGTTCAGACCTTATATTTCAATATTTAATTTCCTTTAACTTCTATAGGTGCCGTTGTACAAAGCGGTCTTAGCACTATGGTGATCGTAACTCCCATACCTTAACATAGACTTACGACAGTCGTAGCGGTAAGGTTGTTTTGTACAACGGCACTTTGGTCCAGCGATGCTCAAGATCTGTTATCCCTGGCCTATAGAAGCGTTCATCTTGGTCTCCCCGAGACGGTCTCGTTGGCGCAGTCACCTCGTAATTCGTGGCATAAATTCTACCACGGAGGTGTGATTTGTGTTTAGGGAAGAGATAAAAGACAAAGTGTGCTCGTTCACGAGCGTGTTAAAGGGAAGTCATTCAAAGCTACAATCTGCACCTTTAGTCGCTGTCACTCGTAGTAGCGCATAGATCTGTGGGATAATATTGTCCATTGATAGTCTGACCTCGTTCCCAACCATGAGTATTCTCTTACTGTCTTTGAAAACGAAGCCACGACTTTGCCAACTGACCTTACCCGTTTGTACTGCTAACTGGTAACGTCGCGTCGAAGATTATTGCACTTACATAGCTACGTGCATGCACGTGTGTGTGTGTGGCTGCTTGTACTAGTCCGGACTGATGCCGATTCATAGTGCTAGCTCACTGAGATACCATGCCGCAGTTTAACATGAATACCCCACTCAGACACAGTATACTGATTCCGAGCCGACCTTGTCTTACCCCCTTAATGCCGAGCGCCAGACAGGGTAACAACAAGTACCATCTTTTAACGTCTTTTGGTATGGCGCGGCCGGGGATCGAACCCCAGACCTTCCGCTCTCCGGGCGGACGCTCTACCACAAGACCACGGAGGCGGTCTGGATATGTTGAGACGGGCCAGCTTCTGATCTGGTGTCAAAACTGTGGGCGTCCATCTATTGGACAGCTTGTTCGTGTGGAGTGTGTCAGTTAAGATGGACTGTGTTGACCAACACCTGAGCCCAATAATGTCAGCGATGTACTGAAAAGTGACATTGGTCAGCTGTAATAATGAGGTGGACATCGGCATCTTCAGGGCGAGCAGACCTAGCGTCATCTTCTGTGTTACTTCAGCCTCGCGTAAACTCAGCATTTCTTAACAGTTGAATATGAAGGGCGGTCATCCCTATCTTGCTTTAAATATACTACTCAAAAGAAGTTAAGGAACAAACGATTCTTTCATATTACTATAATTAATCTGTCATAATCTGAGATATTAACTATAGC